GGGGCGCGTGGAGGGAGAGGGGTGAGAAGAAAAGAGAGATACTCAGAGATAAATAAAGACATCTTCCGGTGGATCGTTCCGTTGTTCGTTCACCTCTAGACTCTGATATTGTTTCAGAACGTGAGTTTCGCATGCACATTCGTTTTCCAGATCTGGCTTATTCGTATACAGACTGTTGGTTCCTTGACTCTCAGGCAGATGCACTCCGAGTTTGAAGGAAACATCCCTAGTTAGTCGACTTCCACGACATGTTGTTAGGGAACCATTGAGTTTATTCCTTATCCCCCCCACAATGGGGTCCTTAACACACGCGGGGAAATATACACATAATAAACATACTTAATATACATATAAGAAGATACTGTAGTAATTGGCACTAATAGAAAGAAGTAGAAAGATAGGACACAGCTCAGAATTACCATGAAAAACAGCGTGCTCGTGATTTCTCCTTCTCAATCACTCCCCTTATGTCCATTTCCCATTACTTCTGTGATTCCTTAAAGCTCTTACTCTAAGTTACTTCTCTTGGCCGTAACCCTCCATCTGCCGCCAAGACCTACTCTACCTTTCTGTGTCATTTCCTGCCCATTTGTCTGTGTACGTGACTAATCAAGACTTTCAATGCAGTCTTTGTTTTTCTTCTTTCTAGAGTGAATAGACATTTTGTAGGCTTGCGAGAAGAGCTAAGTTATTTTATGAAAGTGACGAAAAGAGGACTAACTGCAGTCAAGCTAATAAAAAGAAATTAACCCAATGAATTGTTACTAATAAATTTAACGGGGAGGGAGGGGGGGGAGGCGGGATGGGGTAGGCGGGGGGGAGGCGGGATGGGGTAGGCGGGGGAGGGGGGTGGGAATGAGACAACGTGCAGACTAAAAAAAATTCTTACGTTTCATCCGGAGCCTTTCTCAAACACAAACCACAACAGCGCCTTGTTGCTGCTGTTGTAGTGGTATGTCCCACCCCCCCCCCCCCCCCGCACTTCCTCCCTTCCTTGGATAAGCTCTTTAGTCGCAGCTGAGTTGAATACTACGTTACGTCATTTATTCTGTATGTCGTTGTGTCGTGCTTTTCAGTACGGTCGGTAACAGGTTTTAGTGTGAGCTGGTGAAAACCCTTATGTAATAATTCAACGAGTGTATAGTAGCCAAATCATCGTGCCTGACTACTTCCATCAACGACAAACTGTATTTCTGGTGGCGACTGTTAGCTTTGGCGCCTCTAGCATCTTAAATTTGCATTTACTGCTTGTTCCGGGACTATTTGTTTGTTCACCAGTTTTTCAAATATGACAGTAGGGGACATTTCATTTGATTTGCGCTGGCACAGGAACGGAGCAAGTATGGGGAAACCCGATTGCAGAGAAGTTGAAACCTGAACCAAGACTAAGATGGTGTCCGTGTGTATTGTATGCCACAACGTTCATTTTGTCACTGTCGTGTGTGTTCTGTGTTTATTGGGACGCTGGCAAGGTCTGCTTATGGTTCGGATTGACTCTTTTTACCTTCGTTAGTGACGCTCAACCCCACCAGGTTCGCACAACGAGCTATAAACACCCGGTGACACAAAGCGCTACCATCTGGTTAAGAAACACCCGGAAACACGTCCCACAAACCCGTTTAACCGTTAAGTTATAATATGGCCTCCTACAACAGCCAGGTGTCATAGGAAGGTAAAGACAAATTTCTATACTCTCGATGAACCACTCATGTTATTCTCCTGGCTAGACATCATCGTGGGTGCTTCAGGATACATCAGTTAAGTGATAATGTGTATTCATGTGGTATTGTTTGATTTATGTGTGTGCTGATGAAGGCTTTGTAGCCGCAACGTTCACTTATTGGTTTGTGTTTGTTATATTGTGAAGCACGCTAATCTACTTATCGTTCTGTTTTATATCTTTCTAGGATGTTTTCAAGTTAATTACTACTGCTAGAGTTTTCGATCTTCTGCAAATGAATCTATCCGCTTTCCCATTTTTAGACAGTATCAAATATTAGCCTTGAGACAAATTTAGAATGAAACATTTCAAATCTTACTTCCAACGATCGTGTTAGAGTAATGAGAACCTAAAACCCATTCCCTGGGGTATATACTTTGTGTTATCGTGTGAAAAATGTGCAGCTTTCAACCAATGATATGGACACACACAATTACTTTTCAAGCAAACAATAATTTTAAGTTAATCTAGAATGGATTCGTGACAATTGCTTCTTTGAAATGCATGCAGCCTCAGTTTTTGTGCTTTGAAATTATGTTTTTCGACATAACCGCTGCGTGGTTGAGATGGGCAGTAATGGGTGCAGTTAACATTAGAGAAACACGCACTTCAAAGATGCTAACAATACTTGTCAGAGTTGTCATGCTCGTTTAGGACTTTTTGCGTCATCCATTTTTTTAAATTTAGGAATCAAGAATATGTTAGTATAGTAAGTGGCATACAGAATAACAGATGACAAAGAAGTAAAAACTATACACAAGGGTGATGAATGATCGTAGACCACGAGGCAGACCCAGAAGAACATGGAGAGATAATGTCCAGCCAGATCTGCAAACACTCGGTGTCACTAGTTGGAAAGAGAAGGCCAACTAGAGAGCTGAATGAAGGCGGGTGATATCTGCAGCAATGAACCTCGAGGGGTCGGAATGCTGAAGAAGAAGAAGAATACAAAATAATCTCATAGACAATTTTGACGCCTTTAAGTGTGTTGAGCATATGGAGCTAGACCTATATTTGATAGACCAATCAGCATTCGGTGAGTAATGTGATTAGCACCACACAGGCCGCATTGACTTCCACCGACTTCACCTGGTAGCCATTTAAGGTTGGGCCCACAAAGTGGCCAAGATAATATTTGGAGAAAAAAATCAAACTCCCTCAGGACCTGAATCCACGTCATTTCGATCTGCAGACAAGAGTATGTCCGCTACACTGCGGTGGCTCCCCATACAAAATATAGGTTGCGTATCCATTACAGGACGTTGCAGAACCAACCCCAGCGCCCCTCTCTGTTGTGGGGTTTTCCAGGCAAATTTACGTCCAGTAGTTTGCGCTTTCTGGACGGTCGACTTTCTTGATACCACTGTCGAAACCAACGCAAGGCGCATGACCCGCAGCTGGGATCGAACCCGGCATCCCGGCATTACGAAGCGTTCGCATCGACTTAGCCACAGAGCCGACACTTACAAAATATACTAAGAAAATAATGAAAATTACAACCAGAATTTCGTTCTTTTGTACTTGATAAGTCTGAAGGAACACAGGAAAACTAAACAAAATTAGTTTAAATAAGGTAGACACAAACAGCAGATTGCATTATTTATTGCTCAAAATATCTTGTTGTATCTCGTTAGGTGCATTACTACAGAGTTACGCCAACTATCGATGAACCTTATCAATGCATACATTACACTGAATCCCAATGTCTCTACTTGCAGCGTACACCCCACCAGCGTAAATTAAAGATTAGTCGCATGATTATGACAGACGTGTATAACTTATCACATGCTCATTGTTTGCCCAACGCAGAACAGTTAGTTAATTTTAAATGCTATGGTATCAGTTGGTAGCGAAAAATAGAAGGCATCGAAATGTGCAATGTATTGTTTGTGCTCCCATGACCCCAAAAAATGTTTTAAACAAGACAAGCAAGTATAACCAAAGGAATTTGTTTTAAAGGGGTATAACCATTCTTAAGTGAGAAACAAATTCAAGTTTTAAAAAAAAATATTTTTTAACACTGTGGGTGGTATTTCAGTTGACAATAAGAAATGCATGCAAAAAAGGGACCATTTCCACGTCATTGAAGCACCAGCCAAAACAGCTCTCACATGGACACCAGAGGGAAAGAGAAAACAGGGGCGCCCAAAAACAACATGGAGACGAACGATGGAAAGTACCCTGAGTGCGGCATCTTTGAAATGGAAAACTGCACTGAAGATTGCACATGACAGGAAAGCATGAAAAGTCATCTCTGAAGCCTCATGTGCCACTAGGCATAACGAGAACTGATGATGATGATGATGAAGCACCAGCACTAGGTATTCATTGGGTGACGTGCTAATCAAACCTGCCTCATTTACTTTACAGAGCATTACATGATACACATATAAGGCTGAGTCGATTTAGCAAAGTCAGTTTTTGAAGAGAAAAGAAAATCCTTCTTAAAAGCAAGACCTCCTGTCCAGCAGTTCAAATTATAGTTACTACGTTAGCACGATCCCAAATTCAAAAATAAAAAATGTTTAAAAAAAAGGCAAGGACTCTTTTCCACGCCTTTAGACTATAGGGCATATAGGGCTAGACCTATAATTGATAGACCAACGGCACAAAATTGGTGATGTGGTCAGCATCACGCCGGCCGCCTCTACTTCCTGGGACTGGTACCCAATCAAGGCTGGATCGACCTGGGAGCCAAGGTCATTTTTGAAGAGAAGTCAGGCATAGTAAAATGTAGAGCCCAAAAAATGTTGCTATTGATATTCTTTGTTGGTGGTTCCTAAATACTCCACTTTCCGTATCGATATGAAGCCACATGAGTAAAGTCTCAAAAGATATATGAAGCATTATGTATTGCTTATAACAATATTTTGAGAACGTTTGGCTCTCATTCTTAGAAGATCTGAGCTGCAATTTCTGGTAAGGTGGGTTCACATTTTTGTTTGTTTGTTTGACCCCACCCAAAATTCCAACCCCCCCCCCCCCCCTTTCCTATAAGTATGAGAACAGAGAAGTCGCGAAATGGTCAAACCGTTTGCCTCGCGGTCTGAAGAGCGTGGGTTCGTTTCACGGCTACGCCCTTCAGTTCACAAGTGCTTTTTTTATGGTAATCCATAGAAATCGTCGCCGAAGTTACGGAGTTCGTGCTTTGCGCGGCGCTATCAACAGGCGGCTAGCCGTTCTGCCAAGAGAGACCGAGCCACACGGTGCAATGATCCTCTGAACCTCTAACTTTAACTTTAATTTTAGAGTCAGGCTTGTTTTCTGTTCATCCACTTACCTTCAGCACCGACCTTCCGTTTCCTGACAAGATCAATCTTATTGGCCACAAGAACAATAACTCTGTCAGTGCCATGATCGACTCTGAGATACCGGACCAAGTCTTTGGCGCACTCGAACGAGGCGTGGTCGTTGATGGCAAACACCACCACGTAGGCATCGAGAAGCTGCTCCAGGCCCTCTAATATTACCTGCAAAGATATGAAATTGATGTTTCACCCTAGCAACGCCTGGTGTCTGAATGAATGTACTCTTCGGGCACCCCCGCCCCCCCCCCCTTTTTTTTTCTCCCACCCTGCCCAACACCAGGATGCACTCTTTTACTTTGACCATTTAGTGACAACATACTAGAGAAATCTGGCTTCATCAATAGGGCACTACAGATACGTATACTGCCACGATGAAAATTGGTTGCATTTATGGTTCGTCCATCACAGGTGATGATGGCCAGTCTTTTCATCTACTGTTGACTGGATTAGGTTTTGTGAGTGCGCAAACGTCTGATAAGGCTAATTCTAGCACTGAAAGTTCTTGAGCAGTGTGGACAGAGAACTGAGGTCGCATCTCTCTGGTGATCTGCTTTAGTATCTTTCCTGGCTTGCCTTTTCTAAATTGCTTCTGTAGCTCTACAAGCTCCATGAGCTGCAGCTTCCGGATAAAGAGAAGTTCGCTAGGGTGAGCGGTTACATGCAGCTACACTACGAAAGTGAAGCATTCATGATTTATCATCTTGATTATTTCGTCACTTTGATATCTCTTGTGGTTCCTTCTGGTACTGAGACGGTTAGAGGCGAGGTTCGCCTTATGTGAAGCTAGTGATATTCCCACATAGTATTTCTTTCGTCAGGTGCCGGTATGGTGTAGCGGCTAGACGCTTGTTGTGGATCGAAAATCGTGAGTTCAAATGCGAACGGAATGGGACATTTTTTTTAAAGTAATGACCTTTGCTTCCAGGTCGACATAGCTTTAAACGAGTACCAGAGAAAGTCCTGGGAGGTAAAGGCGTCGGGCGTGTTGTTGACCACACCTCTGACTGAGTGCTGGTTTGTCTAGATAATATTTGTCTAGCAATATATACTCATATGCACTGAAAGCGTCGAAAATGGTCTTACAGGTTTCTCGTCAGGTTAAGCTTGCAAGCCTAATTTACGACTATTAAGAATCGTCGCACAACAAACACCTGATTACGTCACCCAAATGCTGACATCAAAACTTAACCAACTACCTCCAGACCGTTAGAGGAATGATTCATTCATTGCTTGATGATATCTTTCCCCATGTTTCTCTGTCTACCTTAAATTTAAGTTAGGACCATTTTTCAAAACCTTTATGCGTATTGGGTATCTAGAGATAGACCAATATTTTATAGACTGATCGACACTTGGTGGGTGATGTGGTCAGCATCACACCGGCCGCCTTTACTTTGCACGACATTATCTGGTACCTATTAATGGCTGGGTCGACCTGGTAGCCATAGTCATTTTTTTAAAAGGTCATGCTTCATCGGGACCTAAACCCATGACCTTCCGATTAATACGGCGGCTCTTCTTTAGTAAAGAAAAAGACTCTTGTGTTAAAGCTCAATGGCACTCGACTGATGTTGTGTGCAACATCAATCCAACATACTCTACTTCTCAACACACTGTCTAGTAACCAATTTCTATACACTGTTTAGTAACCAATTTCTATACACTGTCTAGTAACCAATTTATATACACTGTTTAGTAACCAATTTCTATACACTGTCTAGTAACCAATTTATATACACTGTTTAGTAACCAATTTCTATACACTGTCTAGTAACCAATTTATACACACAGTCTAGTAACCAATTTATATACACTGTTTAGTAACCAATTTCTATACACTGTCTAGTAACCAATTTATACACACAGTCTAGTAACCAATTTATACACACAGTCTAGTAACCAATTTATATACACTGTTTAGTAACCAATTTATACACACAGTCTAGTAACCAATTTATACACACAGTCTAGTAACCAATTTATACACACAGTCTAGTAACCAATTTATATACACTGTTTAGTAACCAATTTATACACACAGTCTAGTAACCAATTTATATACACTGTTTAGTAACCAATTTATATACACTCTTTAGTAACCAATTTTTATACACTGTTTAGTAACCAATTTCTATACACTGTTTAGTAACCAATTTCTATACACTGTCTAGTAACCAATTTATACACACAGTCTAGTAACCAATTTATATACACTGTCTAGTAACCAATTTATATACACTGTCTAGTAATCAATTTATATACACTGTTTAGTAACCAATTTCTATACACTGTCTAGTAACCAATTTCTATACACTGTTTAGTAACCAATTTCTATACACTGTCTAGTAACCAATTTCTATACACTGTCTAGTAACCAATTTATACACACAGTCTAGTAACCAATTTATATACACTGTCTAGTAACCAATTTATATACACTGTCTAGTAACCAATTTATATACACTGTTTAGTAACCAATTTATATACACTGTCTAGTAACCAATTTATATACACTGTCTAGTAACCAATTTATACACACTGTTTGGTAACCAATTTATATACACTGTATAGTAACCAATTTATACACACAGTCTAGTAACCAATTTATATACACTGTTTAGTAACCAATTTATACACACTGTCTAGTAACTAATTTATACACACAGTCTAGTAACCAATTTTTACACACACAGTCTAGTAACCAATTTATACACACAGTCTAGTAACCAATTTATACACACAGTCTAGTAACCAATTTATACACACAGTCTAGTAACCAATTTATACACTCTGTCTAGTAACTAATTTATACACACTGTCTAGTAACTAATTTATACACACTGTCGAGTAACTAATTTATGCACACAGTCTAATAACCAATTTATACACACTGTCTAGTAACCAATTTATACACACAGTCTAGTAACCAATTTATACACACTGTCTAGTAACCAATTTATACACACAGTCTAGTAACCAATTTATGCTGGGAACTTCCTGGGAGAAAGGTCAACTTTTCATACCAGATCAGCTGGATGTCGATATGAACCCAAGATTGTAGGGTGGGCCGACACACGTCTAGAGGCCATGCTCATTCTAAACAAATTGCAATTAACGTAGTAAAGTAAAATAAAGGACTCTTTTTTCACGCCCCTAGAGATAGCGGTTTATAGTACAAGACCTATGTTTCATTGAGCAGTTGACACTCAAGAACGATGTAGTAAACGTCACGCTGACCGCCTTTACTTCCCGAATCGTTACCAGCTATCTACTTTAGATAAGGCCGACCGGGGAGTTAATTGTTTTTATTTTTATTTTATTTTTTATTAAGAAAATCCTTTCAAATATGATTCGAACGCATGAGCTACGTGCCAGCAAGCAGTAGTCTAATCGCTACGCCCCTGCGCCATCACGACGATAAGAATACAAAAATGTATAAACTCACGTTTCTGCTGGGCGGATCTATAAACTGTATTGTTGACTCTTCGCCGTCTAGCAGGACTGCTACAGTGTGTTCGTGGGTCTCTGCAATTAAAAAAATGAAGTCATCAAAAGCAGCAATGGATTATAACGCACTTTAACATCACACATTGTGTTTTGGTGGTTTAGAGAATTGACATATTAGCATACGAGGCATATATTCATTCTTTAACCAGTTAAACGACTGAGGAAAATGAAATGGAATGAAAGTAAGAGAAGTGGAAAAACAAGATAAATGTCTCTGGGCAACTACTAGTATCAACAGTTATAAGATAGAAGATATGGCGCTATAGTGGCCATATTCTGACAAGAGACCAACAGTGAATCGCTAAATAGGCACATAAATAGGAAATAGAGGGACAGAGAAAACTAGAACGTCCAGAAAAAAAAACCTAAGGTGAACGTCGGTGAAAGAAACCAAAAGATGCTGGATTGCATTTTATCCATAATATCGAAGTAATTGCATAGGACAGAAGCAAATGAAGAAATAACTGGTAACTCTATGTAACATAAGATGACACAACAGGAAAACGAAGTGATGGATGACCAGTAAATATCGATGACGTGTGATTTTACTTCTATTGAAGACAATCAGTAGAAGTTATCTAGTGGTCAGCATCATGTCGGTCGCCTCCACATGGCACCCACTCAAGGTTAGGTCGAGCCGAGGTTATTTAAAAACTCCAATACCGTCAGGACTTGAAATCAGACCTATCGATCTACAGGCGAACTTTTAGATTCTACACCACGGCGGCTTCCTCTTAACTTCTCGTATCTTTTAAAATATACTCATATACGTGTTATTTTGTCTTCAGAAACTAGTTTTTCATAGGTATTAGTTGTACATTTTCTTTGAAACATGGACAACCCATCCCAGCCTAAATTGGCTGTTTGTGATTTGTGATACAAATCTACATTCAGTAACTTGTCATTGCTTTGTGAACTTTACACCGTTCATACCATTGTCAAAGGCAAGGTAACACGTTCTGCGATAAATTGCTTGAAGCTGACATCGAAGTCTGTAACGCTTAAGGTTGAGTTCACGGTCTCTAAGCCACAAACTTGGATTTTACATAAATTTGAAAGGCATTGGAAAGTAATGACTCATTTTTTTTTCAACCTAAACTTTTAATGTAAAATTTACGAATTTCACTATTAATAAAACTCATAACCCCCTATAATAATTTTTTATTCCTTTTACAAACCATAATTTTTGACACAATCTTCGTACACTTCTAAAACTTTACGCCAGAAATTGCTGAAGACGGTGATGACTTCAGTAAAGCTCATGACTTCCCTATGTGAGGACTGGTAGCCAGGGTATTTTGTGTGTGTTTGTGGTTTGTGCTGAAAAGGGCTCCGACCGAAACGTCCGATTTCTTGTGTTTTTTGGGTTGTTTTGCTACCCTAACGTTCCCTCCACTCGACCTATTCGTGAAACGTCTTTGTCACAGTCAAGGGAAACAATTTAAGGACATCAGACTAGCTGGTATTCGTTTTTTCCTCTTTAAGTTAATATTTCTGTACAGTATCCGCTATATGAAGATTAAACTCTCTGAGCCCAGCGACCGACAGTGTTCCCATACAATACCCTGACGTTTATGAATGTTCAGCTCAGTTCAGCAATCAGAAGTCTTTCAACACGACACTGACAGTAAAGTATATTGTCCTTATACTCTCTTATAAAGCATTAATGCAGCTATTTGTTGTTGTTGTTTGTTTGTTTGTGGGAATGGGTTGCTATTTCGTACATACTATACTGACATTTTAATTTTTAAGCATACAACATGCATGTTTTTATCTTATGTCGGGCATTACTTTCTAACAGTCTCTCTTAGATTTTCGAAAATCGCCCTTTCCCATTGTGAGTGTGGTAGCTCCTGGCCATACTGGAGTCACTTTTTTCAGAGCTTTCCCAACTGTTCATGTTGATGACATACTTTTTTAGACAAACATAATTTCACGACACTGTATGCTGACTAGAAAACAAAAAGTTAAAACACCTTCTAACAGGAGTTACAGTTCACGCAACAAACCTTTACACTGCAGCCGACAAAATAAGGTGTCGTGACATGCAGTTTAGAAAGCACTGCACTATTTCCATACCCATTGTCTAGCATTCGCATACAGACAGAACACAGCAGACAAACATTTTATTTAGCCAATTTAGGCAGACAGTATAATAACATGTTTGTTACTGCGGCTGCCATTTGAGCAATAATTACCCTTCCCGATTCTGGACACAGGTGAGCAGCGGTAACGTAGTCGATATATGTGTAAATGTGTGTATGTGGGTGTGTTTTTATGTATATGAGTGTGTGTGTGTACATGTTAGTGTGTGTATGTATATAAGTGTTTACGTGTACGTATAGGAGTGTGTATGTATTTATGTGAGTTTGTATGTGTCTGTATGTATGCGCATGTAAACAAATGTGTACGTGGGTATTTTTGAGTGTGTATGACTGTGTGTGTATGAATTTTAGTAAATGCGTGTATGTGTCTGTGTATGCATAAGCATGTAAGAACATGTGTATATGGGAATTTATCAGTGTTTATGATCGTCTACATATGATTTATGTTTATGATTGTCTACATATGATGTGTGTTTATGATTGTCTACATATGATGTATGTTTATGATTGTCTACATATGATGTATGTTTATGATTGTCTACATATGATGTATGTTTATGATTGTCTACATATTATGTATGTTTATGATTGTCTACATATGATGTGTGTTTATGATTGTCTACATATGATGTGTGTTTATGATTGTCTACATATGATGTATGTTTATGATTGTCTACATATGATGTATGTTTATGATTGTCTACATATGATGTATGTTTATGATTGTCTACATATGATGTATGTTTATGATCGTCTACATATGATGTGTGTTTATGATTGTCTACATATGATGTATGTTTATGATTGTCTACATATTATGTGTGTTTATGATTGTCTACATATGATGTATGTTTATGATTGTCTACATATGATGTATGTTTATGATTGTCTACATATGATGTATGTTTATGATTGTCTACATATGATGTATGTTTATTATTGTCTACATATGATGTATGTTTATGATTGTCTACATATGATGTATGTTTATGATTGTCTACATATGATGTGTGCAAGCAAATTGTTAATATATTTCAATATGTTTTTAAGATGAGTGCTTGGAAAAGCACTTTCTAAAACCCCCAATGGAGCATAGGCTATCAAACAAATCACGAGTTGATCGATTCTTCGCTAGTATGCAGCTCTCTCTGTGTCCTCCCTATCGTTTTGACTTCACTCTCTTAGCTCCATTCTCCGTGTGTTTGTGTGTGTGTTTTTAGGGTCTTTCTTTATTTCTATGCCTCTGTGGGTTCAAGTGCAAAGACATTCTGGTTATATTTTTCTCCGGTTTTCTCAACAACATTACTAATTTGACATTAGAATTAAAAATTTTAAGTTTATCATTAGTTTTAATTTCGTTTGTCCTCCACAAATTCCGTAGTGCTTTGAAAGTTCCTCTTGCCTTTTGTATCGTATTATAATATCCCTTTCAGCTCCCCTATCTTTATTTACATTACTGTGTACAACACAGCGTCGTGGAGTGGGATACTATTAAGAGAGGCCACTTTACAGTTTGCCTGATTTATTCTCATTATTAGGAAGACGGTAGAAATGACAGAGAAATAGAAACCAGATGTCAGAAAGCAAGTGTACTTATATACAAGTTGTCACTATTTTCAAGATATCAAAGCATATCTATGAGTGCAAAGAGACAGCATATTCATTCCAACATTAAGCTACCAGTGCCAAACATGGACACTATCTAAAGCCCATATACGCAAAATCGCTACCTGCGAGATGGGATGCCTGAGAAAAGGAGTGAATAATGTGCTATCAGGCAAATTGTGGGAACGACCTTGTACTAGTTTCACCGAAAAACAGCAGATCAAATGGTTTGGTCATCGTTTGAGAATGCAGCAAGATCAAATACCATCACAAGCACTACATCTCAGAAGATCAGCTACAAGAGCAAGAGGACGGCCGCGGAAAACATGGATCGACAACATTAAAGACACTCTACGCCTTTACTGCATGACAATAGCCAATGGCAGCCAGCGTGCACTGGATCGCAAATTATTCCTCCCCACGGCGCTTAACTGCAGAAGTGGTTTATGATGATGATTAAGATACTGAGATAATGGTATGACTGTATAATCACTACCTGTTGGCGTCTGACTAACCTGAAGATGGTGATGATACTGATGATGATGATGATGATGATGATGTTGACGATGATGATTATGATGATGATGATGATGATGATGACCACAACGAAATGTTGTAACAGAAGCAGACATTCAATAATTCACTAATCCCCACACAAGAAAAGAAACTCGCGACACCAGAAACTCGACACCAGTTCGTCTAAATCCCTTCATCCACGAGCTAAAGGAAACAATTCCGTTACCAAGGAAACAAATAGCAGATTAACTAGACAGATACACGACGCATTTCAATTGAAGAACTATTTTTTTTTTTTTTTCACAATCTAGACTGTAAATGAAAGTCAATATAGCAAAATGGATTCCAGCAGTGTTACAGAGCGTTAGAGGGAAGTGGAAGGGATAAGAACGGTGATCACTTATGAGGAGAATTAGGACTCGATTTCGAATTCTTGGTACACTTACCTGTTTGTTTTTCTCTAATCTGTACAGTCAGTTACGACAGCACTGTCAACCAAAGCAAATCTCATAAAAAACATTTTTTTTTTTTGGAAGGGGGGGGGGGGGGCCAACATTGTGCTACCAGTGCCAAACATGGACCCTTACTACAACTAATAAGTGGAAGATCATAATAACAGAGATGAGATGTCCTAGCAGAACTGTCGGCATGACAAGATAGGACAAAATCGGAAATTGCGGGGGGAGGGAACAGTATTAAAACAATGGTTTAGAGGCTAGACAGTTTGCGGGAGCCGAGAAAGCCTAACGCCGGCTGAAGGGTCTTATGTTGAAATCCACATAGAGAAGTTTT